TCCCCCTTCCCTCCCCTTCCCTCCCTCCCTCCCCTCCCTCCCTCCCTCCCTCCCTCCCTCCCTCCCTCCCTCCCTCCCTCCCTCCCTCCCTCCCTCCCTCCCTCCCTCCCTCCCTCCCTCCCTCCCTCCCTCCCTCCCTCCCTCCCTCCCTCCCTCCCTCCCTCCCTCCCTCCCTCCCTCCCTTCCCTCCTCCTCCCTTCCCCCCCTTCCTCTCCCTCTCTCTCTTCCTCATTTTCACCGCCTGGCAGCCTCGCATGCGATGCTGGAGAGCTTACAGCATGCCCGTCAATCACCCAAGGTGACCTCCATCATTCTCTCAGCCTCCTTCTCCCCCTGCGGCTTCTCCTACCTCCTCCTGCTCTTCCTCTACCGTCTCTTCGCCTCCCTCACTCTCCTCCTGCTCTTCCTCTACCGTCTCTTCGCCTCCCTCACTCTCCTCCTGCTCTTCCTCTACCGTCGCTTCGCCTCCCTCACTCTCCTCCTCCTCCCACCTGGCTTGTAGCGGGCTCACACATGCACAGCGGATGAAGCAGCTCGGGGAGGAGGCGGAGGTGAGAAGGAGGCGGAGGCTCGTCGCCTCTCAGGGGGTCGCAGAGGTTCGGGAGGGAGTGCTTGAGGATGGCAGACGTGATGGAGTACATGCGAGCCATGCTGGCGGCTTACTCGAGCGCCATGACCTTCCCGGTGAGAGGGAGAAGAGGAGGGAATCAGAAAGGGGGAGGAGGAGGAGGAGGGATAGAACGGGAGGAGGAGGGGGGATAGAACGGGAGGTAACAGTGGCGGCCAGGTGAGGGTGAGGGAGGGAGCCTACAAGGTGTCGACACACGAGGATGTAGACAAGTTAATGATCAATTTACATGCAAGTCAATGAATGAGAAAGCAAACTTGAGCTTTGTACACACACGAGGCTCTGTGGCTCATAACTGGCTCACTTGTCGCCCCAGTCTCCCTTGTTGCGCTGGGGAGTCTTGGGGGTCATGGTGAAGCCCTGGCCCTCGCCGGGAGGATAGTCGTCCTCGGACTTCTTGAACAGGCGCTTCACAGAGTCGATGATCTGCCATGATCGTGAGCACAGTGAGAACAAGCATGTCGATCGCTCACGATTGAGATGAAGTCATTGCCCTTGGAGAGATCCTTGGGTTGATCGTCCTAAACAGCAGGTTTGAGTCCAGTCAATCCTCAGTCCCTTTTCTCACCTCATTGGCAGACATGCGGAGAGAGGAGCAGGCAGGAACACGGAGAGCTGGGCGGAGAGCGTTGAGTGCAGGGGTGGGAGCGAAGGCAGCAGCCATGGCAGACTATTCGAAGTTGATCAGCTGGGTTCAACGTTGAAGGTACTTGAGCTCACCATGGCAACTACTGCGACAAGGCAGAAAACAATGGACTTAGAAAATTCCTGCAGGGAAAGGAAGTGAGTGACCAAACATCAGAATCTATTGAAATTATTTCTAGCAGAAACAACTGAACATTTCTGAGAAGCTGCCTGCCATCATATCGATAAATTTCGCCCTGTGCTGTAGCTGACTAGCTAACAGAATCAACAAATTTGTTGCTACTCATCATGTTTTACAATTCCATGCTCAGGTCGCAATCATCGACACAACATTTCCTGACGTGTCTCCCTCCCCTCCCCTCCCCTCCCCTCCCCTCGTCTCTCTCAGCATTCTCGTCGTCCTCGTTCTCTTACCATGGCGGTGGATTGTTTCCTCGGCTGGAGCGCTCGACGTTATGACCCCTCTCACTCCTCCCCCGGTTGGCGATCCCTCCAGCCCCCTCAGCCCCCTCGAAGTTATTTGATGTTTAGTGACCAAATATGATTCATTAATTACAAATTTGAAGGTAATATTTGAGAGAATCAAACACCTGGAAATGACATATATTCAATTAGTCAATAATCCGAGGAGAAGTACGAGAAGAAACACGCCAACTGAATGGCGTAATGGGTTAAAAGTATATTTATAGATGTGAGAGATTTTTACTGAGAATTCGTACCTAAATTCGAGTGACAAAAATTCAAACGTTTTAAAAAAAGAACGTTTCAAGTTTTATCCCCTCTCAGATATTTAAATTTCATACTTTTATAGTTTTACTTGTACAAATCTAAAACAGATATTAATTGCATGACTTATAAACCTTGCGCCTCTTCTATAGTCGCTTCATCACCCCACCCCCTGTTTTCAATCACTGATCACCCCCACCTCCTCCAATACTGCATAAGATTGGGATATACCCCATACCACAGTATCCTACCCCCCATCAGAGAATGTTCTGCAGCAACCTACCCCCTAGAATTCCGGCATGTAGATGTTCTTAGGTGGGGTGGGTCATCCAACTTACTGATGACACCACCCCCCCCAGACTTGAAGGGCGTTGCGACCCCCATCTAATTTTAGCAAGGTTTTGAGATAAGGTAAGCTAAAAACACCTTTTAAAACGATTGAGATCTAAAAATAGACGTGGAGAGGCTCTTAAAATAGATTTTGATCATACGCCCTTATCGGCGTAACAAATCCGACAGATCCAACGGCTTTCAACGGTTTTCAAGTGGCTCAGTGACTCGGCATCATCGGAGTCTGGCGGGCCGGGCCGGACATCATCCGCCGGGGGTTGACTCAAACGGCGCTCACTGCCGTGATCGGACTCCGTGACATAGTCAGTCTATAGGCCGTACGGGACACAGCGGCAACAAACGCGGCTCAAACAAGACCCGGAAGTACCCGGAGCCCCATCCGGATGATGATCATAGCCTGTAGACCCGGTCTTAGGACCGTACGACGGTCGTACGGTCCCTGCCAGGCTAAGTTGTGACCAACGGTGACGCCGTCGCACCCTCACGGTCACCGGGTCATTGAGAATTTTTTCTTCGAATTGATTCAATTGGACTGACATATTGATTCAACTCGAGCTACTATCCCCTCAGAAAACTTAAACGAAAAAAAACAAAACCATGTGTCAGTCCACATGGTCCCCTGCTGTACCGGGTATCACGGTGCTCGTTCAACGGTTGCTGGCTCCCCGAGTCCTCTCGCCGGGCTGTCACGGCTACGTGGCTTCCCGCGTGGGATGGCAGTGTAGGGTCTGGTTGCCAGCAGCCTGGCAGCACAGTGCTGGTTACTTTCGGTCTTACCTCGACAAAGTCCGAGGTAGGTAGCCGCGCGTTTGCAGTGCGAGCCAAGACCACAGCAGCAGGTCCATCATCAGGAATGAAGTGCCGACCAAATGCCACATCCTCGAGGGGCATCGAGCGCTGAGCGATGATGTCTGCCAGACTAGTACCAGATAAAGCGGAAGGTGTAGTACGCCGTTGGTATGAAGTTCTACTCGCAGAAGGTAAAAAGTGCCTCAAGCAAAAAGCCGTTCAGGATGCAGTGTAGACGCTGCAACATGGAGGGCGTCGAGGTAGCCTGAGGGTTGACCTCCACCCACTTGATCAGCTTGTTCCTGCTTTCAATTTGTTTTGCTTGAGGCACTTTTTCCCTTCTGCCAGTAAATCCGACACGACCACACATGATCAGGTTGGCAGAGCTACCAATATAACCCGGGGTGGACCAATGGCACTTCCGCCATTTCCTCCATACTGCCCTCCGTCCGAGTAAGGTTGTCACACTGCGTCGGACACTGGCAGATCGGCATGCCATGAAGATAGCAGTCGAGCATCTGAACATAACGATGCGGGAAGGCCTTGATTCGCATCGGAGAGTAGGGTCTGACTCAGAGTTTTACTCGCATAAGGTAAAAAGTTCCACAAGCAGAACAAAGCAGGAACCGTGACTGAAGCGAAACCTGCATGCACACAGCGCACAGCGAGAAGCTGCACAAACACACACAAAACACAAGAGCGAAAGTGAAAAATGTTTACACTCAGAAGGTAAAATTGCCTCTTCATAATGCTGGAGCGATCCTCTACCGTCGTGTGAGGGCTCCTGCACCGGCTGCAGATGGCCTAAGGATTGGGATCCCACCTGACCCGGCTGCTGACTCGTCTCATGAGCAGCCAATTCCTCCGCCTGCGCCGCAGCGCAATGAGACCCCTCAGGGCCTTCCCGCATCGCTATGCTCGACCCCTGCTGACGGTTGCCAGCAGTGCTGGTTCTTTTCGGGCTTGTGTTTTGTGTGTGTTTGTGCAGCTTCTTGCTGTGCGCTGTGTGCCTGGAGGTTTAGCTTGTTCCTACTTTGTTTTGCTTGAGGCACTTTTTACCTTCTGCCAGTAAAACCATAGTAAATCCTATCTATGCTCAGATGTGCCGATCTGCCATTGTCCGACGCCACACTGGCAGGTATGATACAATGTGATGGATGTCAGCGCGAGTTCGATCCTCCCGTTGCTGCGCTCATGGGTGGTTTTACTCGCAGAAGTTAAAAAAGTGCCTCAAGCAAAAGAAAGCGCATCATCATCTCCTGACCTGCATACGCCGATTCTCCCGGCAAGCTTCCCACGGCGCATGACAACCTTACAGGCACTATTTACCTGCTGCGATTAAAAAAAAGTGCCTCATTAAATTAAATTAATTAAACATTCTTCCCTCGCGCTATTCTGTCAATGCTCAACGAAGCTGGTCTTCACTGAGTCGGAGCGTCATCGATACGGGCTGTTCCTGCTTTGTTTTGCTTGAGGCACTTTTTACCTTCTGCCAGTACAACCATGATGTCTCTTGATACAGATCCTCATGGCCGCAAAAAAAGAAGGGCGATATCCACATCCCTGGAATCCGCGATCGAGGGTCTGAGCAGTACGAGGGCTTGATGGACTACGGATTTACTGGCAGAAGGTAAAAAGTGCCTCAAGCAACCTTGATGGCGGATGTGGCATTGGTCCGGTCCACCCCTACATATTTTCGAGGCTACATAGGATTTACTGGCAGAAGGTAAAAAGCCCCTTGCTTTGTTCTGCTTGAGGCACTTTTTACCTTCTGCCAGTAAATCCGACATCCGGACCTACGGATTTACTGGCAGAAGGTAAAAAGTGCCTCAAGCAAAACAAAGCAGCAACAAGCTAAACCTCCAGGCACACAGCGCACAGCGAGAAGCTGCACAATCACACACAAAACACAAGCCCGAAAAGAACCAGCACTGCTGGCACCCAGACGCGGCACCGCCAGCCCAAGCGCGAAGCCGCGCAGACAAGCAGCCTAAGGGTCAAGCAATCAACTTGAAGCAACAAGCAGCAGGAGCATGCAGGAGGAATAATCCCTTAGACG